GTTTAAGTAGTAACCAGCACACGCTGTATGCAACTTCTAACAGCATGGGAGACGGGAGGCCGCGCTTGTTGGTGGATCCAGCTATCAGGTGAGTATTAGACAAAAAAAAGTTTTATTTTATGTTCTATTCTTAGTTCTATAATGTCATTGTAGTACTTTCAGGTGGAATACAGCTTCATAAGATATCAGCTAGGGAACTACAAGTCCCAGCATGCCCTCATTGCCCCTGTACAACAACCAGATATTGCCGTTCCCTGGGTGATGTGTGTGTGGGGGGGGGTGTACAGGGACAATGATGGCATGCTTGGACTTGTAGTTCCTTAGCTGATATATATGTGTGGGGGGTGGGGGGTACAGTTCTAGTGGATGTTTATATAATATGGGGGGGGGGAAATGTTCTGCCCCGGGCGCCAATAACTCTGGTTACGCCACTGTATGCATCCACCTTATTTCATATACTCTGCAATCGTTTTGTATATATTTGTAGAAGCAAATAATTTTCAAGGTACAGAAAGCCATTACTAGTAATAAACTAACTTTAATGAAGCTAATTATCCACAATGAGGAAAGCACTTACAAAAGTATATAGTTATTTTGATGTACTAAATAAGAGTTTTATTGCATGTAGAATTTTACCAAAAGGTGACCTAATATTCATCTAAATAAACAAATTACACATGAACAAAAAAAAAAAATTCCAAAATCTTGTCTCTGTTTACATGTAAAATGACCATACAGCACATTGAGCTTCCTCACAGGTTCCTTCGATTAATAAAAGCAAATACAGTGGTACCTCGGTTCACGAACTTAATTTGTTCCACGATTCTGTTCGCAAACCGAAGTGGTCTCGAACCGAATCAAACTCTGATCAGAGCGTGATCTCAACTAGAGGAAACCAGGACCAGTGTCAGAGCGGGAAGATGGCTGTAGTTGTGTTCGTCACCCGGTGCGGAGTTTGCGAACCGAGGTACCACTGTATTTAACTCCTACTATTTGACACTACTATGCCTTAACAATGAACAGCCTTATTCCTTAGCAAGTATTCTCCTAATATGATCAAGTATATCTGATGCTACTTCTGCTTTAAACACAGAAACAAACAGGCACATTAAATGCAGAAAGCACATGTCGGCAGGAAACAAATCCCACTTATTTCTCTGTCTGACTCTCAGATTATGCATTTCTATGAATTGTATTTGTTAGATAAACAATTTCACAGGGATTGTGCCACTGCATATCGCTCTGATTGATTGGCTGCTGATATTTCACTCTTGTTCCTTGTGAAATGTTTGAACTGCTGTACATTTTTCTTGGAAGCATGCAGGAGTACAGAGAAGCTTACGTGAGGCACAGGACTCACTGCAGGAATGCCTCACCTGGACCTGTCTGAAATATGTCTTCTGCATACAATTCACTGTGATCATCAGAGTAAACTTGCACTTTATATGATGTTCCAGGAGATAAACCTTTTATTACCAAAGCACTTCGAGTACTATTTACAGGTTCCTCTTTCCAGTCTTCTTTGCCTAGAAGAATTTCAGGACAACACAGGAAACACTCATTGAACGGTCCAAATGAAAGTCTTGAGCTTCTGACTGTACTAGAGTAACATGCATACCAATGGTGTACAGAGCTTGTATGTAGAAAGCATGCAAAGTCTAGCTAGACCATCAGGTAACAAATATCTTCCAAAACTGCAGTTTTGGAAATGATACATACAATTTTTATATAACAATATTAAAGGGAATGAACAGTTTAACACCTAAAAAAAGTAGACACCTAGTTTAAAAAAAAACAATTAGAACGGGAGGACTAAGAAAGGCTACACAACACCTCCGCTAAGAGAATGGCAGATATGACCCTTAAATCATCATCTTAACAGTTTTTTTTGCTATGTGAGCCTGCACAACTCGATCATAAAGGAATATATATTTTAATAAATAATTACATTACTTAATTAACACAAAGTGCAGGAAAGCGTGTGGTCATAAGTATCTGAGGTAATACAGCCAACCATTAAAAGTGGCCTCTGGGGCTTTATCAATGAAATCCAGATTTACATGGAGAGTGAATACCTTATTAACAGGTTTAAACTGATTACAACAATTACTACCAGTCCCTGTCAATAATTGCAGTTGGCTTCTGTTAAGAGGATGATGGTACAACTCATTTATATAAAAAGGGGCGTAATTATTGGGGTTGATTTAATAATTGATTATTGTTATTGGGGATGATCATTCATTAAAAAAACAATGTTTTCTGTTTGCACACAGTTGGATGATGGAAGTCAGCAGAGCTTCACTTCACTTCATTCACTAAACTAAGGAGTAACTTCTCCTCCAAGGAGCAAATTCCACTGCAAAGTGAACAGCCTAATCGACTTTAGTAAATCAACCCCTTTTGTTTCCAAATGACTAAAACCAGTCATATATTTCCTGATAGCCATTTAGCTATCATGGATTAAGTCAAGTATTACATATGTTTGCAAATATAAGGGTTCATAGTGATCCTTCTATACTCTGTTTAAGGTAACAGAAACCCTACTTTACAAAGCTGATTCAGTGTGAGCAATGTGCAGACTTATCACATGTTTGCTGCTTGGTCATCCAAATGAAAGAAATGTAAAATCTCTAAATATATTTTGCAAACAGCTGTTAATCTTCCATTGCAGCAAACTACAGGTCCTTTAGTAACCTAACATCACAATTAACAATGTTGTAGTCAGGGTTTTGGGAGAAAAATAGCAAGCACCCAACTGTGATGTCTGTGCATCTGGTAATGGTAACACATTGTTCTGTTACATGGGATGAGCATAGCCCAGCCTGTATCTTCTGACGTTAAGTCAGCTGTACCTCCAGAAATATGCAATAAATGTAAGGGTATATATTTGGAAGAATGGTAGAAGGAATCTTTGATAAATGTTTTTCATAAATATAATTGTTAGCATTAGGGGGTATAATGAATGAAAAGCATTGACCCATACATGGATGAGTCACTGAGAATCTCTGAGAATAACATAACCTTATGTTATCTTCAAGGATAATATCCAGGGACCTCAGGAGTGACCCAGATTTGTCCCAGTGGCCCAACAATATACCAAAAAAGTCACTCTGTCTAAATGTTTAATTTACATTGAATGTTGCATTCAG